TCCCTCCTAATACTTTGAACCGTTACTGCTTTGTATTCCAATAATATTATTGTAATCGTTAGAATAAAACACTATTTTGATTGCGCTACACAAGAATTAGAGCACAACCAAATTCATAAGCAGGTTTCCAGCCCACCCAGCGGCTCCACCTGCTTGTGTCCCTCCCTGAGCTAATGCTCGGACCAGCCCAACACAAACAGGTCATGCCTCCGACTCTTACTGAGCCAGATGAAGCTGGAAGTAAATACAAAGTAAACACTACAAATAAGCAAATCTTATCGATAAGCATCATCGTCGCTGAAGGTGATCAATACACTACAGCCATGGTTTGTACAAGTCTGAGGCAAAGAAGCGGAACAGTAGGAGCTCACTGCCGCGCGGTGCGATGATGTAATGTTAGGGTTTAGTTAGGGTTTACTTTGTATTTACTTCTATTTATTCTAGGTATACTCTTTTTTGGTCACGAGGTTGGGCGTTAGGCGTTGGGCTTGGGCGTTGGGCGTTCAACTTTGAGCTCCCCTAATGAGGCAGAAGGGGTGAAACTTGAAGGCGCGGGTAGGATTGACTGGTCTAACTCCCACTATCTAGGTACCCCAGTAGCAGACGCCTCCGAAGTTGCAAACGAGTCGTGTACACAAGAACTTGAGTGAACATTCTAGTCGAAAAAAAACACGGCAGGGTATACGAAAAAAGGATAGTTAGAGCGTAAGAATATGCATCAGGGTTATTTGTTCAACAGAATGAAAGAGGAGCGTAGATCAACAAAATGTGAATATGTACCAGACGACAGCAATACGACGTAGAACTACACACCAATATGAACAAAAACCATCCTCTGCTCGAGCGGCACTTTCGTCTTCACCGCGTGCGTAGCACAGTTGAGCGCCCAGGCTGCTCTCGTGCAGTCCATGACACCACCGTTCTTCAAATCTCCAAACATATACCGGTAAAAAGCTTCGACAACGTGTTTTGCGACAGCATCGTCGACCTCCCACAGCGTGCCAACGACGCTCTTGAACCCTGAAAACTGAATCCCAGCTGCGAGGTGGATCGCTTCATCTGGCGTCTCCTCGTCGCTTACGGCGGTATGACAAGCCGATAAGAACGCGAACTCGGCCTGCGGCATATGTTTCTCCATGATATCGAGCAGCGTCAGATGTTCGTCTCTCATGACGAAATGCGAATCGTAAGGCTGCGTAGAATCCTGCTTCCCATGACAAGCCAGGTGCACCCAGGTGTTCTGCTGCAAAGCTGAGAGTGCACCTGCTCGTATGGCTTCGTCGCCAGAAATAGTGGTGCGGTTGGCTGTCGCAGGGACGAGCTTATGGACAAGCTCGAGCTCGCTGTCAACTGCCAAGAGCGCCTTGCCTTTCCCTGCACCCGGTTGACCCTGTCCGATCGCTACAAAGGACGGAGGCACGCGCTTCTTCATCAACTGTCTAGATCTGATCAGAGCAGAAAGTGTCGGCGTGTAAGAGCAAATGTAGAGATCCTCCAGGCATGGCTCCTTCCCAGAACGATCCGCCTTTGTTTGAAACGGGTGAGCTGCATGGAGAGGAATGGATGTGAAAGCTGCAGTGGGACACAACCAGATTCGAGAGCGGCGCTTTAGTTGGAGGACATGCTCGAGTACGTCGACGATGGGTAGCATAATCTGGTCCCATATTATCCGCAAAAGCACTATGAGATCCGTCCTCGACTCCCGTGGGTTCATCCGAGATGAATCTCGTATTGCCCTGGTGAAGCGATCCTTGAGAATCTTGAGATCTGTGAGAGTGATGGATGGCAAAGGAACATGATGGGGGTCTCCTGACGTCGGGACGATGATGGCGCTGCATGAGTATTGACTCGCAATGAGGATAATGACCGGGCCCTGGCGCGCTGCTGCTTGCAGTTCTTCATAGGAAGGTGGAAGCAGGAATCGCGAGAACGCCGGAAGATTGCGTATCTCGGCTACCGCTGCTTCCCATTGCCTTGTAAGTATCCTATATTCTGTTGCTGCCCGATCAGCAGCAGCCTTATTAGTGATGGTTGTAGAACTTTGTGCGGCATTGGAAACGAGTTTGCTCAGCTCCAAATAATTGCGCGCCAGCGTCGGATTTGCTGACTCGAGGTTTTCGACTGGAGTCCTGAGTCGAGATGCCAGCGACCACTGCTGGCCACGGCCCTGCTCCACGAGCTCAACTGCCCGTCGTAGATTGACATGACGTATAGCACAAGAGGCTGCATCTACGGGTAGTGATCTGGCATAATGGAAGGCAGCGGCAGCTTCGCGTCGTGAAATTGTCGATGATCGCGTTGCCAAGTGACCGTCAAAAAGATTGAAAAATGTTGTGTAGGCCTCGAGTCCAGATGCATGGTTGTGTTCCTCCGCTGCAGCGACCCAGTACCAAACTATCTTAATACGTCGCGGAAAGCCTTGTGCGGTATGGCCTGAAGCTAGTCTGAAGTTCTCTACAGCAAGTGACAAATCAGCAGGGTCGTATATAATCCGGTAACGAGACTGATAAGCCACCTGCAGCCACCAGTAGCTGAGTGTTCTATCTGGGTGCAGTGAAGACAGAGCCGCCAATGATTGTTGGCAAAGCGTAATGGCCTCCTCGATATCTTCATTCTTCTGAGTTTCCGTAAAACGAGAGCAGAGCACTGAGCTCAAACCGAGAAGGGTTGTGTGGCGCTCTGGATGGTCAAGCCGCCTTAACCGAAGGGATTCACGATACCAATCAAGGGCCTCGTTGAGATCCTCGCTGACATGCGATTCGTCATATCTAGTTTTGAGCGTGAGGGCAAGGTTGTTAAGCGTGGTGTCACGACCTGGATGCCCAGGTGGGCGCAACGTCAGTGACTCGTGATAGAGGCTGATAGCTCGGGTGATGTCGTCAATGTCGCCGCGTTTCTTGAAACGGGCGATGAGGATGAGCCCTAGGTTGTTCAATAAGGAATCACGAAATTCGTGCCCAACAGGGCGCAGGCGCAGTGCTTCTTCGTCCAAAGAGATGGCCTCATCGAGGTCATTGGGCTTGCCTTGGTGTCGGAAGCGCGACATGAGTGAGTCGGCCAAGTTGTCCAGGTAGGTATCACGGTGAGCATGTCCCTCGGGGCACAGAGACACAGCTTCACGACAAAGTTGTATGCTCGTGTCAAGATCATCGATGCTGCCGTGCTGATCAAAGCGTGTTTGAAGTGCTTGTGCAAGCTCGTCGAGGGCTGCGGGACGGTGTCGATGGCCGAGAGGACATAGCTCGAGGATGACTCGTCGAAGATGGATGCCCCCATCAGATGCGTCTATTGGAAGATTGTTGCATGCGCTGATCACATGATCGACACCATTCCCTGCTACGATGCTACGAAGGTAGGTGCCCTCTGGACAGAGAGGCAGTAGTTCATGATAGAGTTGGGCGGCCTCGCAGATGTCGGCAGCAGTCCTTTTTTTGTTGTGGCGCCAATTCAGTGCTCGGGCGAGATTGTATAGAGATAAGTGATGATCGGGATGGCGCTGCGGACGCAATGCAAGGGCATCGCGGAAGAGGGAGGTGGTGGCATCAATGTCTTGAAGATCATTTCGGATGTAGCCTCGAAGGCGGGCCCACGCGAGGTTGGTGAGTGCCGTTGCATGGTCTGGATGGCTGACCGGAAACTGGTCCAGAACTAACTGAAAATGTTCTACAGCGTCGTTCAGGTGAGAGACGTTTTCGCTTGTCATGTATGCGGCCAATTGTGCGTGGCCCGCATCTGTGTCTCGAGCAATCACGCAGTCTACGAGGGACTGCAGTTTGCATTATGTCAGCAAAAGCTAAAGGACAGATACCAGCGTCACTCACATCTGGCAACAGTGCGTCATTCTGATCGTCGCAAGCATGTACAATGGCAGCCTTCAGCTCAAGTGAAGGGTGGACACCGCGCACGGGTGGGAAGGATATATCTACGAGACGTTAGTGTATGTACATGAATGAGAAGCGAATCACTCACCGAATGGCTCATCTCCATGATCGAGTACCTCATCCCACGCCATCTGAAGTTCGCCGATGACCTCTCCACTCCCTAGCGATCGACCAAACTCAAAGGACGCCATGATCTCCACTGACAACGCAGGTGAGGAGTGTGATGATCTATAAACCGATGATCAGTTCTCGCATCGCGTCAGACAGTGTCCATGGACTTTACAGAGTGACAGAATTCCTCCACAGGACAGATTGATCAGACGATGAGACACTGATGGCTGATTTCCAGCGCCTCCTGGAGTCGACGTTGATGGATATGTAGATGCCAGCAGGAATGCGCTTGGAAGGAACTTGAAAATTCTTTCCGCTGATGACTGTAGATATTGTGTGAGGATGATAACATATACGAAGGTAATATAGAGGGACTCACCCTCAAGTCTGATATATCGGCTTTCTGAGCTACCAGGCATGATGGTGTGATGGAGCAAATTGATGAGGATTGAAGATGGGCTGAGTGGTGTGGACAGAATCAGTAAGAAGTAAGACGGGGGTAAGGATATGGTATGTGGATAGAGTTTAGCTGAGAGGGTGGTTGAGGTTCAGGTCATGCTACACGTGCATTTCCATATTGTCGAAGGCTGTTTGGCACAATATAGACGCTGGTATGATTGCACTAAGCGCTGGGAATGAAGATCACCAGGATTAGTGGAAGAATCTAGAGTAGACAATGTCATGACCAGTCTTCAGCGAAAGTGGACACATGGAAGGCTGAGGTCGAGCGAGTCTCAGAGTAATTGGACTTGTATCATGTTACTCGTCAGCACACCAAGGTGAGATGTCCAGTGTATTTTGTATGGTAATGCGAACAATGTTAAAACCACTGAAGACGGCACGCTAAGAAGAACCGAATGATTCTGTACGACTCGTCCTATTGAGCTGATGATGAGTGGGAGGATGATCTTGCCTGGACAGAGAAATTAGAAAAGAGTGTCAACTTGGATGCAACCAACTGTATGCTTATTCGGTGAAGGACGATCGATGAATGTGATCGCTGCCAGTATGAAGCAACTCGAGGATAGGTTCAACAGGAAGTTCCAGTATCCTTATGTCTTCCTCAACGACGAGCCCTTTATGCAGAGCTTCAAGCAGTGCACCCTTTTACGCTCGAATTCTTGAAGCTGCTGACAGGCTATAAAGTCACATATGGGCCTTGACCAATGCCACAGTCGAATTCGGTCTCATCCCATCCGACCATTGGCATCAACCATCGTGGATTGATGAAGAACGAGCAAGCAAGTCTCGCGATGACATGATTAAGAACGATGTGATTTACAGAGGTAGGTTATCTTACAGTTCTCAGCGTACATGTAGCGTGACGATTTTCCAGGTAGCGTTTCGTGTGTATGCTAAGTTATCATCGCTGCTTCTGACCAACTGCCCCTAGATACCGGAATATGTGTCGCTTCAATTCTGGAGTATGCGATCGTAATGCGTCTTGGCGAGGTTGTCTGACTAGTTCCTAGTTCTTCTATCGACACGAGCTCTTGCAGAAGTACAGGTACTATTGGAGAGTCGAGTGAGTAGACGCAGCCGAAGGAGATGCAATGTAGCTTATATTCCCCAATCAGGCCAGACATCCAGCTTTTCTGCGACGTGGACTATGATCCCTTTCTCATGATGCAAGACCAAAACAAAGTGTATAGTAAATCAAAAGATGCTTTTAATTATACACTAGTCTCAAACATCGACAGGCTTTACTATAACATTATACGAATTCCCAACTACCATCCCAACGCTATGGAACGCTGTAAAGTGTAAGTGTACTTATTCGGCATCTACTATGTTTTCAATCTCACCTTCCTGTAGCTTTCATTGTTTATACATGTAAGTACTTGTCCCTGGACTTCGGAGCTTCACGTAAGTTTCATAGACGCGTAGGCTCAGGGTCTCAGACACACAACCGACAGTACGTCTGACATTTAAAATTTCCTTGTATCCTCGTGAGTACTACTTCTATCATATTTGACATGTATTGTAAACTGGTTTTGCATATAGGTCTGATTTTACATAGCAGTTGCCCTGTGTATCATGCGCCGTGAGTCAACATGATGAGATTAGATGCAGAACAAGTCTCACTAACCATCGAGGCTTGGTTCCAGAGAGTCCCTGCGTACAACAAGGCTCACGCGCGCCCTGCTTACTTTGCGGTAGGTTCGGCCTACATGTATCATACGTCAAGTTTGAAAAGTTCGGTGCGAAGCAAGGCTTACGCGGGCATCAGGTTGCTTGCTGCCAGTCTCGGACTGCACGTATCACACGGTGAGTTTTAAATGTTCGGTGCAAACAAAACAAGACTTACACGACCGATTATTGCGGTAGGTTCGGCCTGCACACATCACATGGTAAGTTTGCAATGTTCGGTGCAAAACAAAACAAAGCTTACGCGGGCATCGGGTTGCTTGCTGCCAGTCTCGGACTGCACGCGGCACACGGTGAGTTTTAAATGTTCTGTGCAAACAAAACAAGGCTTACACGACCGATTACTGCAGTAGGTTCGGCCTGCACACATCACATGGTAAGTTTGCAATGTTCGGTGCAAAACAAAACAGGCTTACGCGGGCATCGGGTTGCTTGCTGCCAGTCTCGGACTGCACGTATCACACGGTGAGTTTTAAATGTTCTGTGCAAACAAAACAAGGCTTACACGACCGATTACTGCAGTAGGTTCGGCCTGCATGCATCATATAGTAAGTTCGAAATGTTCGGTGCAAAACAAAACAGGCTTACGCGGGCATCGGGTTGCTTGCTGCCAGTCTCGGACTGCACGTATCACACGGTGAGTTTTAAATGTTCTGTGCAAATAAAACAAGGCTTACACGACCGATTACTACGGTAGCTTCGGCCTGCATGCATCACATGGTAAGTTTGAAACGCTCGGCACGAAACAAGGCTTACGCGAGCATCTGGTTGCTTTGTGAAAGTTTCAGACTGCATACATCGGTGCACATTGTAAGATCGACAAGGTAAGATCAGATGCGAGGCTGGGCTTACTCGGGCCACCCTCGCGACATCGTCACGCTTGCCGCTATCGGGCTCGTAAGGTGAACGAGGAAGCTGCAAATTTCGTATGTCAACATGACAGGATTTGACGCGAGGAGAGGCTTACGGGCACTCCAGCGCTGACAATGGCCGTCAGGCCGAGGAGCATAAGGAAAGTGGTAGAGAGGCGGATAAACATGATGAGTTGATTTCACTTGTAAAGGATGTTGTTGTCGACTCGATTGTTGGTGCTATCTCTTTTATATTCCACAGATAAGCGTCAAGTCATGTCTTGGACATACTGGCAAACTGGAGATGTAATCATTCAGTGAAGATGCATACGTGGCCCAAGTCAATGGGACTGTTTGTGATGTCACCGGACCCTAAATGTTTCTTGCAATGCGTACCGAGTTAGTGGAGGGCCTTGTGTCAAACCAGGACTCCTGCCACGACCTACTTTCTGGCCAACTGGGGCAACAAAGTGCCGACAATCGCCGTTCTCTCTTTCATCTTGGCAGTAAACAACAAACGGAGAAAACGGTACATTTTAAAGCTACCTCCGAATTTCAGCTGTCATATCGACAGACCAGAATTTGAAAATTTATTTTATTCGATATTGTAAGTCAAACTTTTGCGTGGTGCCCTATGGTCTACCACTAAAATTCTCACACGAGTCTGACAAGTCACGTGACTCGCGTGGGTTAAAACTTAACAGAGCTTCAGGTTTACGACTCAATATCTTCTAAGTAACTCTCGTCGATGATCCGTGATCTCACAAATTAAGTGCGCATTCTTTGATATCTTTGCAGATCCGCAGCTTGACTGTGGTTATGTCACAAACTGACGATACAGATGAGATTTTTAGCTCTCGGGCTGTGTGCGTCGAAGGGCACGTTTCCTTTTTGATCAGACGCAGTTGGAAATTTTGGCTAGTGTTATTACTTCACTAGTAGCCATGGCTTTGGGACTTCTACTATGACATGTCAACAGTCACACATGACACTGGCGTCAAAAGAGTTTGTCGTGGCTCGTCGCCGCATCATGATGAACAATTTTACTTGGCTGAGTCCGATAAGTAGCTCCAAGCGATGTATCCTGCCCTTGCCCATCAAATTGGCTTACGCCACAATATATATGTAAGATTTACAGCATACTATCTTTGCTGCTTGCAGGAAATCAGGGGCGTTATTCCCGCACAGCTCCTTCCAGTAGGCCTCACTATTATGGAAGGGGATGAAGCATCAGAGGACCTTCAGGGGGAGATTGCTGACGCAGGTGGGAAGGACTCTCGCCACATTCTCGTCGCTCGAAGACATTCTGCAGGTTGCTGTAGGTGGATGCTCAATGGTAGGTAGACATTGCTGAGTTGTTCATGATGTGTCATTTACATTGCATAGTACTACCTATATACAAAAGCCTACCTTCAATTGATGGGTCTGGTGGTGAAATACTTGAGCTCGCTATCTGGCACAGCGAGTAGGAAGGTTCGGGTCCTGACGTGGCTCCTTCCTGGTACTTCCTATGGTGGATGTTTGGTTACACTTCGACTTTCCGCGAAACCGCACGGATTCTCTTTGTCCGATCAGTGTTTGGTTTAAGCTTCAGCGGCAAAATCGAAATGTAAGCGAACATCCACCGTTACAGCTGGCCGCAGTACTAGTCCATGAATAACAATTTCTTCCGCGAACTGTGCCAGTGACAGTGCCTAGCAACGGAATGAACATCAAAGTCAAAAAGCAACTCATCCCCGCTGGCGGAATGATACTGCTCGTTGTCTTTTGTTAACCTGGTTGATTAGAAACTTGAAGCGTGTCGTACTAGACTCGTGGCAGCCTGGCAGGGTCTGTGTTTGCCAAGGCTCTCGACTAACTCCATGCGGACTGCAAGAAGTATTTACTATTTAGGCACGGGTTTTTTTAAACCATTTTACATGCTCAATTGTGCGTCAATATTAAATAGAGGGAATTACTATCACTGGCGGGGTTTTTCAAAAGTTTTCAATGTTTGATGCGCAGCACACTCGTCAAGAGGTCTTTTTTTTCCGCTTCTTGACAGACCTGTGGGAAATATCGTGCTCTATCACACCCAGGTGAAATCTGATTTTTTTGCGATGATGTTTGAGCGGCGGAAGGAATCCGGTTGTGCGATGTCAGTTTGGCAGCGACTGGATATGCTGTTTCAAAATTTGTCACAGCAATGTCACACTGGAGTTTTGTAGCTCCGCAACGGCACGCTCGGCAGAATTTTGAATCTCGATATCTACGAGCGTTCGAAGGAAATCAAAGATTCTATGGATTCGTGCATGTACATTATATAAACCAGCTATTCACAGTAAGTAAATCTAAATGTATGTATGTGCATTAAGTGGAGTGGATATGATAGAAATAGAATGAAAGTGAGTATGTTCACAAAAGTGTATAATCAAAGACTGGATGTAGGATATATACCAACGAGGATTAAACTCACAGTCCAGGTCATTGCGCTGGTGAGTGATAATAAGGTGGACAATAAAAGGGATCATGTTGAGGTTGAAATGATTCGAGGTGAGGATGTTCTTGATAAGGTGTATTACATAATTGCAGATGACAGCTTGCCGAATGCAGAAGAGGATGTGCGCCGAGCGCAAGTGGAGGTTCATGTTCATTGTCGTCAAGCGTGTGAGAAGATGTTGATGCAACGGGTCGTGATGGCGGCAGATTTTCTTCCTCGATAGCTGCCCGTTGTTGACTATCGCGCGTGTCCCTGAGATTTTGCGGAATAAATTGACCTGGCCCGGATCTGGAGGCTGCTATAAGATACACCTCCCCTGTCGGTCTTACTTGATGTACAGTTTTTGAGCGGAGATTATAATTGATGGTGCACTATAGTCACGGTGCGGCATCCACTCTTTCAACAAATTCACTGATAACATGGTTCTGCCCTCATTCAATCGCGATATAGAAATCGCAGTGGTAAGCATTATTTGTATAGGGACAGAGATTGTTTTCCCTTGGTTTTTTTTCCTGTTTGACAAAGTATACAGATTGTAGCATTACAATCATTAACGCTCAGTGGTGTGACATATGTCAATGGATGATTTATTGTGAACACAACTGCTCGATGTTTTCTGTAAGATCTTCACAGCTGTATTCTATAGACACTAGAGAACACTGGCTAAAATCACAGAATATTTTTATGCAGTGTGCAGCTCGCGATATGATGATCAGCGAATTTTGAAACCCAATACCCATTTTGAAAAACCCCGCCAGTGATAGTAAACATATCAGTTCTCGGATGCCATGCTTCATTTACTCCGTACGGTAAGTCGTTAATTCATTCAAGTTGTGGGGTTTGTGCGCGGCGGTACAAACGCTGTGACGAGACCTTGGAATCGTGGCACGCGCACTGATCTGCGACCAATTACACATGATGATGGTAGCACTATACCATTAGTGAATAAATAACCTTCAGGGTCAATCAATGAAGCCCTCGCTGTCAAAGGTAAGTCGTGCTCGTCCGAATCAGATGATACTTCACTGGGACTCGGTTTCTATGGCACTTTGGTGAGATCGTCTCTTCGGCTCCATCGAAAAAAAAACGAGATTTCCATGCCTACTAGGTAGCATTCGTTCGATAATGACGAGTGACGCCTCAACGCCTAGGCTTCACCTCCCGTAGTCCCTTAGACTAGCTGCATGGAACTTTGTAGACCAAGATTAACGATTAACTTTCAATAACAAATAAGTATATTTTTGTTCAAATTCTTGAGCTCAGCCTGGCCTATATAACCACGGACTGATCATTACCTTGGGGCTGTACCTGCAATCGATCCGCCAGAATAATTGCAACTGTATTGGCAACCAAAGTCACGCACAAGTAGCACAATATTGTGAGTATTCGTTTGGCAGAGTCAATCTGGGGAACTCACAGGCGTTCTGTCAATCCTGGGATCGGAAAAGCTTGGCATGAGTTTGATCCATGGTATCTCCATCCACACTAATTGTTGCTGGGACCTGCTCAATGAGCTGACGAGGGTGCTTACTAGCTAATTTATCGTTTAGCGTAGCCTGGTCGATATCGGAGTTTGAATTTGCCAGTGCGGCACGGTTGTACCGAAGCGGAACTTTCCCGAGTACCGCATCTTTGTCGAACTGTGCTGCAGTATGCTGCAGCTGACACCATTCGCTCCATATTATCCTCCACTTACCACCACACCACTGTAGTACGCTCTACCGAATATTTATCATGGATAGTGGACCCCTGCAGCCTTAACACGGAGGGAAAATGCTCTCCTTGCTGACCGTGGCATGCGGAATCCGGATCTCAGCAGGTCATGAAAACTCGTTGTGGACACGTGCTGCACAGAAGATCGTGAAAATCCCATTCCAACAAGCAACGCTCTCAGGTACACTACAGAGTGTCTTGTGGAGACAAGTTCTACATCTGCGGCGTCAGCAAATTCCGCCCGATGGAGATATATATCGTCCTTCCTATGAAACCATGCAGAGCAATATCTCGCAATCGTGATATTGTCTCTACTCACGACTTCACGCCCTCCCCTGTCGCTCCAATCGTCCACGCCTACGCTGCTCTTCTCCCCGCTGCAGAGTTCTCCAGCATCCTGCAAAATCCCAATATCGAAGGCCACAGCGCAGTGTATCATGAACCACCGCAAAGATGCCATTATGACCTTCAGTGAATTCGTTTCCAAATTATTGTCTGCTTGACATTGTTCACGCAGATAAATTTGGTACGTATCATTAATCGTAAGTGCACGATGTTAATGTTCACGCGAGACAATTTAATTAATCAGCCAAGGACGAGTCTATGAGACGTTTTTGCATTGTCTGCCGGATGAGATTGAACTGAATGATGAAGGGGATGCATTCCTGGAGGCCATTAGTCTCTGCCTCAGGGTGTTCCAGAAACGCATCCGCATTAATTAATCGAGCATATAATTTGTAGCGAGAGGTATGCACCACATGTCTGTGTTAATCTATGATACCGAAATGATGACACCATCCTTGCAGGCCATATTTGGTTGAGGAGATTTTATAGGAGGTCCGAGGGGAAATGGAGACTGGGCTCAGCAATTGACAAGAGACACGATTGTTTTGCCACTCGCATCGAAGATGAACGAACTTACCCGTAACGAAGCCGCCCGGGGAGGAGGTTGTACGGGTAAGCTTAGCAGACGACGTGTCAAATACATTCAAGTCTACAAAACATTATAATGTACTCATCTAGAGAGCAGATACGACAGCGCTAGCTAGCTATAAACACAACATCTACAAATGGCACGGATGATCATCTAGTGGCACAACGTACATCATACATATTCAAGATCAAGACTAAACCTAGCCCAAACCCGTCTAAGATACACCACCACCCCTACGGAGAATTCGCAAACAGCCACATCATATTCCCCACATCCCCAGCATCCAATTTCCACTTCGCATCCGTTCCCTTCCCACTCGTCGACACCGTCTCCGCATTATCCAACTCATTCAACCGCCTCAGCAGCTTCTCGTCACTACCTACAGCGAAGACGAACCCTACCTCACCACCTCCTCCGCTCACGGGTACGTCTAGGTCGGGCATTGAAGAGGAACGCGGGGAGTGGGCGGGTCCACCTGGATGTAGGATCGCGCCTACTGCTGTGGAACGGGATATGTTATTTGGGAGGACTAGGAAGGAGTTGGACCCTGGGATTATGCGGAGGCCGTAACGTTCGCCGAGGCTGGAGTAGGAGTATTGAGGATGAGGAGGACGATATGTGAATAGGCAAACGCACCTATCAAAGATATGGTTCTGCGCTTCAGCAGCCTGACGCCTCGCCCACTGACGATCCGCACAATCATCCGTCGGACCAGTCCAGAACCTCCACACAACAGACGCCTCACGCTCTTCTACAAACGAACCAGGTGTGCGTTCCGTGAACTACACCCAACGACACATCAATCAGCACCACCCTTGCCCGAAAACACCCTCAAAAATACGCACATAATTCAAAATTTCCACACAAAGACTCTTCCACGTCAAATTCAAATTGGCAACCATACTTATCCACACCCCTCCTTTCCCATTCTGTACCGGGATCTTCGCAAAACACCCGTTCTCTGCTACTATACCCACTCCAGGCGCTTTGGCAGCGACTTGCTCAAGGCTCTTGATAGGTAACCCACTGAGCAACCACACCTCGTTCCGCTGATTTGCAGAGAACTTGTTCAGGAGCTCTACTGCGCCTTCGGGAGGTACGAACGGTGCGAGGAGTCCAGCGCGCGACATATCGGGGCGCCAGAGCGTGCCTTCGAAATCGAGCAGGAGGATTCGGCGAGAGGAGTGTTTGTAGCGTGGGAGGAGGAGCGTGGTGTTAAGCGCAGGGACGGAATTGAGGTCTGTTTGGATGGTGTGTTCGGTGTTGGCGCGAAGGCAGCGTGTGAGGAAGGAGATTACGAAGGTTTGGGCTGTTTGGGTTACGACGTGGTTGTGGAGGTCCTGTTTTAGGTAGGATGAGCGCGTATTTAATGATTGGCGTATGAAAGGGATGATGGGCGCGCGTTGAGGATATGGGCGCGTGTAAGATGAGATGAGCACGTGTTTAATGACCAACGAACGTTTAAAAACAAGTCAGCGCACATCCATCAATTAAGCAAACAGGGTTTCCTCACCTCCCACCTCGACAATGCCTCCTCATCACTCATAGTCAAAGCCTGCCCCACCCCACCAATATCAGTTACTATTCCCAACCAATAGACACAAAAACGCACCTGATGAATAGCCTTGGCAGTCCCATGCGTATCATACGGGTTCACAGCGATACATGACCTAAATCCGCTATAACTATACGATCCAGTAAACTTTGAAACCAAGTCAATAAACAAAAGTATGTGGGAAGGGAAGAGGGGGACAAACCTCGCTCAGGATCAAAGGCCTATGTCTCCCATCTTGACATTCAACAAATTCGTGCGTCCTATCATAACCATCAGCACTCACAACCAAAACGCGACGAGAATACCATCAATCTGCGATGAACCGAAAACTCACCTCAACGCCATCCCCTCCCTCAAACTCGTTACCAAAAACGCATCCGCGACAGTTAAAAGCGCCAAATATTGACTAAATGTGACCTCTTGCGTGTGAAGGAACACGACTGGCTGGTAGGTGAGCGTGCTGAACGCGCTGTTGATGCGTGCTACAACGTCTGAGACGCCGCCTGCTGCTAACTCGTTGGATTCAGTTGTTTGGAGGGCTACTTGGAGGAGGATGACCTGATGGTTGTGTTTGTGTTTGTATTAGTACGAGTTATGTTTCGTATTGGAAGAGGGATGGGAAGGGAAATAAGGATGGGAAGTAGAAATGACAGAAGACGGAAAAGGAAAGAAAAAGGCACCTTTCCCTGATACTCTGGCCACTTCTTCAAGAACAACTCGAACGCCTCGAGTTTGTGCCTCACGCCCTGGATCTCATCCAATTTATCTCTCCCTACGACTATCATCATACCTGCATAGCGTTGTCGGAGGAGTTGGACCCAATAAGAGACGTCGGGCTCGCGGCGCCGTTCGCGTAGGGCACCTACGTCTATGCCCATGGGGAAGATACCCACGTCTACGAAGCGGCCGTGGCCTTCACGGGCGCCACCTGGGATGCCATATTCGACCTGAGTAGGTGTGAGCGGGAAGGGAGAGGTGGAAAAGAGGAAAGGGGTGAAAAGAAGCGAAGGGGAGAGCGAATCAGTGGAAGAAAACATAATCATCCCACACACCAACTAGAACACACTGCACAAAAAGGACGTTGAAATAAGGTAAGAAACCCACCTGAATCCCCTTGGGCAACGCTTCGACTGCAAGAATGCGAGAGACGGTTTGTCTGTGTGGATTGTTAGCTCATGCGTCGTGAGATGAAAAGAGTGAGATAGTGAAATAGGGGTACTTAGATGAGCGCTGGGAGTGCGTATACGAACGCAGTGAGTAAAGACGAAACCAGGAAACCCAGCCAACTACATCTCCTAGCACAGTCCGATCCCCTTTCCCAAGGACCTCAGCTGAAAAAAAACACACCTAAAATGCCTCGCATAACTCGCAGTCTGAAATCCTACAAGATCCGCACCGAGCATACCACGGAGAAGATGTTCGCGTACGCTTAAGCATCTATGGGGTTGTGGTCAGTGGTTTAGAAGGTGGCATGGAGCAGGAGGGGGAGGGGTATGAGTATCGAAGACTTGACATCGATGCCAACGCTAACGGAAACACGACCCACCTAAATATCTCACTACTCGGAAAAGCAATGTGCATGAAGAACCCGATTGTAGCATTAGCGAGAGCGGGTACACGTGTGCTTTGGCGGAGGAGGAGGGGGAGGAGCATCAGGTGGTAGTCGTTGATCCAGACTGAGCGCATATATCAGACGGAACCAAAGCTCTCCGCAACGAAAGACATACCAACATCGCCCTCCATCCAGACGCTCTCAATAGCCTCTGCAAACCGTTTATTAACAGCAGCATACTGCTTAAATGCCGCGCTCTCGAAGAAGAGTTTCGTTTTTGGCGCATCGGGGACTGCATAATGAAGACACGGCCAAAGGACCTACATATCAGGCATCAATGAAGATCCGCAAGGGACAGGGAAGAAAAGGACCTGATGACAAAACTCATCATAACAACTCTCAAACTCCGCATCAGGGATCCACACCGGCAGACTAGAATGCAACTCCTTCATCCTTCGATCGACGCTCGCTTTGAGTTCTGTGTTATAAGCGTCTGTGCTGCTACCGAGGGTCCCGACCCAGAGTTTGTTAGTCATACGGTCTTTAACGCTGTCGACTGCGTTCTTGAGACCACCATTGCAATGGATGTTTGGTGCAAAGTAGTAGGGTTCGGAGGATGTGTTTGAGTAGGAGCGGGTGGGGTACCTAGGTGGTTTTGAAGAAGATCTGCGTTGTAGACGGATAGGATGGAGTGGGTCTGGTTGAAACTTTGCAAGGGAAACGTCCATGTTTCGGATAGAGGACGGTGAGATTGAACCCTTGCCTGCGGGAGATGGAGCTAATGAAGCAAATTTGGAGAATGGATTTAATTCAGAGGGAGGAGTGGTGATCGGAGTGATTGCACGAGACTTGTAGGGGTTAATTCGTCGTACCTAGAAATAATCAAAGAGCTCACTTTCAAATCATCGACTATACTCTTGAGAGGAGCTGGCGTGCTACCGATAGATCGTGATGAGGCATGTCTGAATGCTGGAGGACGACCGCCCAGGTCCTGCGTATCCGCTGTTGTACCTACCTCTCGAGCATAAATATCTGGAGTAGGAGGGCTACTTTCACCCAGAACTGCAGTCGTTGGTAAGAATAGTGAAGCGATGATAACACGGTGGTTTCGTAGTGAGCTCATGGTTGTTCGTGATCAGAGCTTGTTATCCGTAGCAGTGCCCTCATAAACAAGAACCCAAATCGTCATCATGCTCCATCGATTCCATCTGTTTTCCACACGGCGTAATCATTGACGAACGTGCAACCAAACCGACAACACCCGGGTTTCTTCTATTTTTGGCAAGTCTCAATGTCGTCCATGAAATGCGCGTTCTCGGATAGAATCGGTCATGGTCGCGCGTCCGAGTAGTCTTAGTACTTGTCTACGTGGCATGTACGTATAAAATCTATCTAACTCCCTTACCACCCGTGAGAATCAGGTTGTTTCGTTGCTGTCAAGGCAATCGCACCTCTCACTCTTACTCCTAGTACTATGTGCCATCACACATCGAACAGCGTACATTAACGCGGAATGTTCGCCAGCAAACCAGGGATGACATGTGCCTCGAACATTTTGTGGTCTCCAATGTCCATCACCCCAACCACGTTCCTTATAACTCTCGAGTGTAAGTACTGCCGGCACCAAACTGGCAATACATGTTGCGGCTTCAAGTTGTCCATTTGCTATCTTCAAGCTTCAGCTTCAGGGCTGAAGCTTGAAGATCGAAAAAAGATTCCATCGTATCCACTGCCCTCGATGCAGTTCGCAAATGACAGTTAGCTTACTTGTCAGTCTATATTCCTGTACCATGATGATCTTTCTTGACTATTGCAAGTCATCACGGATCTCGGTTCGAAGACTCAATCCAGAATATTGATACTCATGTTGTCAGAAACGTAAACAATACACGGCATTGTAGCGTTAACTTAGGTGCCTCACAAGGACAACATAAAATATCCATCTCACTTATTTCATACGTATGCTGCCCAGGGTAGTGTTCCACACTCTGTCGATCAAGTTTTCGAGGGAAGGCTGGGATCGGGAAGGCAGGGTACCTTAGTCCGAGTCCGCGCTTCCACAACTAGGTCTTGAAAATCCTTCCGGACGCAGACTCCGTAGTGCAGACCCTTGATTCACTTGACCCAAGACTGGCCGGTCCGTTCTTCTATCCCATTTCAAATTGAGTAATCTTATCCTTGATTCATGATTCGAGCTGAACAATGTTCTTCCAAGTCACAGTTTGTCAGACCTCAGACGCTTCTCATGACGTGGAGATCTTGTTGGTTCAGTCCAATGCTGACGGTCATGGATAAATCGATGATGGATTTTAGTGGACATTCCACACCGAAAAGAACACACCAACTACATAGTACCAAATATTGTTGGTGGGGTATTATTCGTTATTTTCGGAATAAGATAGGCCTCGTACAAAGAACTTCATCCGGAGATAGATGAGGCCGATTTCAGCTGAGTACTTATTTGATTTTTGGAGAGTGCTCCCTTCTCACAATTGGGACCCGAAACTATAATATCTGTCATGGAAGCCAGGAACCGCGCAGCTGGCCTTCCTACTTAAGTGTCCTGACCAGATTTCACAGCAGCACTCAACCCTAGGCCTGAACTATCAGCGTCATCATCCAATCTTTTAGCCTGAAGGCAGCCGGTCATCACAGACACCCGCCTCGACACACCCTCACCATCGTTATCCACCGACTCCCCAATGTCTGATCTGATGATGAGACAAAATTCGACATTCTTCCATATTTGGTCTTCGTAGTATTATCCCCTGAGGCCTGAACCGGCAGTTTTCAACCCAACATTCCACAGATCTCAGAGTGAGGCCTATATCAAAGGACGCAATGCAAATGTGACCGGGGGACTTAGTATCTGATCGTAACTACTTTACCTTGCGCTGCCGCGTCACATACTACTATTCTGTCTCTCAGTTACGGACAGTGTGGGCTAAGTCTGGGGTCCGAGTCTGGGGAAGTGTCAGCTAAGACCTGTCCGAGCCCTCCGAACATAGATGCGCTTGCCTAATTACCGCGAGACCTTGGTGTAAAACTTGTTCGCCTCGGTCGTGCATGCCGGAGTCACGGGTCGTTCTTAGGCATCTTATCTGCAAGTGCGGGATCACTAGCCAGCGACGTAGCAGATTGGCATTAAACAAGCGGTCATTAACACTGTGCCTCCTTCCGGTTTCATGGTGTGATTTGAACATTAAAAATTGGCAACATGTATATAAGTTGCATACACAATGTATGCTCCTGAAAGGGATTCGTGGCTAGCAAGGCATGACCAAACAGCTCGAGCCTCCCTGTGTAGTGGGCTCACAATTATATATCGAGCTACACTAGTAAATACTAGTAGAACATCTTGCTACCAAGTGCCACAATGCATCAGACGTTGGGAGTGTATAGTAGCCAATACTTTGTACTTCATTTACAAGAAGAAAAAGCGAAAGTGGTAATAGACTTATTATGCAAGGTTCTTGCTTCCTGAGAGATGAACGAGGTCTTGCGGCCTCACTTCTGCCGGTAATGCTCGTAACGGGGGAGCGGTAGTTATCGACGACTTGTGCTATTCCAGTCAGCCGGATAGTGAGTCATAGCTGCGGGACAGATAGGAACGTAATCGTTTGCCTCAAGGCCCTCCTCCCAACTCACTCGGATGTCAGGGATTCTTCGAAACAAAAGTACACGAACTGCAACAAGTATTTTGGGTCTGGTTGTTCCACGAATGTCGGATCCCTGCAGCAATTTTAACAACATTCAATCGGATCTGCTCGAGCCACGTATGCGTTGACAACTGACTCCTTCTTTGGACGAATACCATCAAAAAGCTGATACGGTACATGTGTCCAAAACACGACTTTACGCCTTCTTTTGTGGAGCATAAAAGAGACAGCACCAACAATCAAGTTGCCAACAACCTCTCCACAAGTGAAATCAACTCATCATCATGTTTATCCGCCTCTCTACTGTTTCCGCTGTTCTCCTCGGCTTGACGGCCCTTGTAAACGCTGGAGTGCCAGTAAGCCTCGCATCCCGTTTGATCTCACCTTGTTGAGCTTACAATGTGCATAGGCCAATTATATAGCACTTGCGCGCGTAAGCCTTTTTTCACACCGAATCTCATCTCAAACTCACTATACATTATATGCAGGAAGAGTATTCTGAACCGGTTCAACGCCAGCCAGGAAAACAGCGCGTAAGGCTTTCTTTCGCATTGAACATTTCAGCTTAACTTGCCATGCGGTTGACTCACGGCACATTGTACACAGGGCAACTTCTATGCACTTCCAAACTATTATGAAGAACCAGTTACAAGGGACCTCGATTTAGAATAGTGCTCACAAAAAAACGAATGCCAGGTGTATTGCGTTTGAGTCTACGCGTCTATCGAACATATGTGAAGCTCCGAAGTCCATCAGAGACAAGTACTTGCACGTATACAAAACCACTGCTTAAATGCTATGGGGATGATCACTGAGTAGAAATATAAGGCACGGAAATATCGACGCACCATGTACATAAAATGGTTCAAAAAACTCGTTTTCTCCGATGTAGACCAAGAGACGATCTCGCTAAAGTGCTAGAGAACCTAAGTCACGGTGGAGTCTCAACTGATTCGGACGAGCGTGACTTACCTTTGACAACATTGTAGTGTCTTGCATGGCGACGGCTTCGTTGCTTGACCATGAAGATCATCTACGTACTAGTAGTATAGTGCTACTACCATTACCATGTGCAGCCGGTCGCAGTTGTGCACGTGCGCGGCGATTTTAAGGACACGTCACGGCAACGTCACGGCATTTGTACTGCCCCACACAAACCCCACAAGGTTAACCGTACATGACGGATGCATCCGAAAATACCCGTGGACATCACAAGGTCATGGTCTCGTCCTACCCTAGTGAGATATGACTCGAATGGCTGATTTCATCGTCTGCTCTCGACACTGATGCATAGCTCAATGTGAGCGGGCATGTACCGGGAGGTGACAATCATATTTTTTTGCGCCGATGACTGTAGGTCCGAGTCGAGCATAAGGATCATGAAAAGAGTACAAAGGTGATATGCAGTGACTCACCTTCAAGTGATCAGACATGCTGGTGCAATGAAGGAAAACGAGGATCAAGGATGTGCCTAGTGGTAGGTGCAGTGATGAGCGAGGAGTATAAAAGACGGGGGTAGGAGAAGAGGTGGGTGGTCCAGGTCTTGTCGCGCGTGTATTTCCATGGCATTTGTATGTTTGGCACGATAGACGTGTGATTATACAAAGCGTTGAGCACGATGGCCGACTTGAGAATGTTAGCGGGAGAGTCTGTACATGCTAAAGAAGTTAGCAATGTCATCAGCGAAAGTACCACGCCAAGTCTGAAGGAACATGCGCATCCTGTGAGGCTTGCTACTCCCGTACTTTTATCGCTGAGTCGTACCATTCACTTAGCACATAGTAAGGTGATATGTATATTTCATATAAAAATAGTATAAACTGCTGAAAGGACGCGCCACAAAGTGCAAACACCAGCGAAGGTTTGCGAGAGCATGTCAGAGGGGATAGTAGAATGCAACGGTCGATATTATGAGCGACGAGGAATATGATTGAGACACCTGGAACAACAGTTAGAATGAGAAAAGAGCCGAGCTTCAAGTCACTACATACCTAATATATACACGCTGCAACGGTGGCCAGCGGCATCATGGCGATGTGGTTTTGTTACGCAAAACCAACATAGACAAGCCCAAACACGCTTGGAAAAGATTCAGAATTCGAATAAAAAAAATACATGTACACGGAAAGTGCCCCTTGCTTTGAGATTCCACGAGGCGCCGCAGTGTCTAGCTGGAGCATGAATGCATGACGCATGATTCGGAAGCTTTGAAGTTGAATCGTTGATGTTTGCGTCACATCTCGGAGCAACGTGACGGTCACGGAAGTTATACTGAAATTGTCCGAGGATGACGCGGATAGGTGGCCACTTCAAGGAACCACGAGTCGATGTCCAATGCCCTCCAACATCTTTGGCTAAGTGAATGCCGCATCTCGTCCTTCAATGTTGTACACGGAAAGTTTACTTGTATAGTCAAACCACATAGAAGAAAGACAGTCATTCCAGGAATCGAATGTACTACACTATCGAGATTCGATGGCGCCAAAATACGCAGACCCACCAAATCGTATGTACAGTTGTTCAATTGCAACTGAAACGCCAGTCGTTAGCAGAAAGTCGGCATTGCAGCATCTCGACAAACACTCTAGTGCCACTCGGAAGTCGGAAAGTGCTTCTTGCTTTGTCTCCATCAAAAACGTGCTTCAGGGAAACCCCGATGTGATTCGCTTGTTCGTCCACATCCCACAACATCACATTTGATGTCCTAGACGACGCTTGATTCGCATACACTCTCAGCCGGACGAGGCCGGAGTCTTTAATCTATACACAATGCAGAAGAATTGTGTCCACAGAGATTTGTCCACAGCCGCAGTGAGTGGAGATCACAGAATAAATGGAGAGGCTTCAATATGCGTGCATTTTTCATCCACCCAACTTCTACCTGCTCGACTTGCCTCGTATATCTCTCCATCTGCATCCCCAGCAGAGGGGTTTCTATTTATTACACAACCCTCGTCGCTCTTGTCGCCTCTACTTGATCACTGATCCATATTCCGCTTGCGCCCAGCTCACTTTCCAGCGGTCGAGTTTATCTTGGAGTTTTTGGTGTCACCATGAAGCCCTTTTCCTCCCCGAAAGCGTCCTCCCGCCCCCTGCTTAGAATTACTATTCCAAAGGTTAAAAATACATCTCCATGGCGCTCCGTGGCACTAGTATTTCAATCTTCGAGAATTTCTGCGGTTTCGTGGAGACGATTGCTTCGTCCCTCACGAAAGAACAAGTCCTGTGATGGCGAAACACATCTCACCGAAGATCTTACTTCACCGTCTGAGACACTTGTCGGGTCTCCGATCCAGGAGAAATTGACTAGTCCAAAAGTGATTATTACTCTTATATTATAACTGATATTTTTCTAATCCGTTCTGCACAGCTGGTCCGTTTCGATGAGTCGCCGACGTACTTCCGCACCTAGGCGCCGAATCAAACCTCACAGGTCCCCCACTCCAAAGGGGGCATTGCGCTCCTGTCTTGTCATAAATGTTTGTGTACTATTCAACATTATTTCTTACATCAATTGACGTCACCGTCTCTAGAATACCGACCCCTTCAGAGAGTTTCTTTCGGATGATGACGACGACCATTCCGTATATGAAGACTGCCTTACATCCTACCCTGGATTCTTCAGGGACATGGAGGATCTTCTAGAGCGCGAACATCTCGAGCAGATAGAAATTGAAAAGTCTCGCTCTCCTTCCTGGGAGCTCACTGAATTTGGCAGCACGAAGATGGATCCCCAAGATTATTTAAGCTTCTGCTTGGCTAAGCAAGCAGAGAGAATATTACGACAAGAGATCGAAGAGTGTAGGAAGGTCGTCTACGACCATCCGATGACGTTACGCTGGCCTAGCCGGGACATTACTGAGCGACCAGTTCAGGAACCTTCAGTCATTCCGATGACGCCCCCACGACTTTCCGTTCCAGAACCCACACCAGTAACTCTCAGTTGGCATGAGCAGACTGCATGCGATGTCACTGATATGCTGATTTCGCTATGCATTGGACTTACCATTTACATGTGTATTTATATTTGGGGCATCTATTGTTTCTTTAGTGGGGTTTTTCCGGATGAAGAGTAGCTGCCATCGGTATTCAGGGGATCGAGAAGTCTACTATCTAGCGCTTAACACCTTTCTATTGCGATGTACTATTGTGTAAATCAATACTTATCATGCTCGGTCGGTCGCCAGTTGTTTGTTTGTACCTATTGAAATCACAAGGTGCTGCCTTCCTTATTCGATGCATAGATTTCTATTTAGTTACCGCAGTGTACTTACCTGTATGATGACCGCCCATATTAGTCTACCCGTGTAACATGTCAGAAACAAATTCTCCATCAACCTCAGAAGCATCGCACGCTCGCGGCAGGGGTCGTGGAAAGTCCCGTGGTGGGCTAGGAAAGTACCTCTGCGCACGAGGCCGTGGTCGAGGTGGCCGTCCAGCAGAATTCCACCAGCGCCTAGTGCTAGAGGGCGAAGAAGTGGTCGATCTCGACCCTGATTCGGAAGAGGCGAAAGAGTTTCAAAAGAAGCACTCACGGCGGCAAGTTGGATCCAATGCCGATCGTTATGTAGAGCTCGAGCCTGAGTTGGATTCTGATGGTGAGTGATCAGTGAATGATGTGTTGAGCTTATGTTTACTAACACTGTGTAGGAGAGGAGATTCGTGAGCAGGAAGTAGACCTATCGTCATTTCTTGCGAGACAACGGTTATCGAACGTGTCGGAGACGCCACAAGTCCTCGGCCAAACAGTGTATTCCCATGACTTCAAGGCTCACCGGCACCTACAGGTGCCAATGATATATTGAGTATTTTTCTCCCACATTGCGGGGCCCCCGGCTTGTTTAGTTTGGAGTTTCCTGAACATTCATCAATCGTCATTCACCGAATAATCATACAGTTGATTGCATCCTTGACATTCTGACATTCTTTTCTAATTCCTCTGCTCAGCCAAGATCATCATCCTCCCCCCTTTTCAGCTCAACTGTACGAGTCATATAGAACCATTCGGTTCTTCTTAGCGTGCCGTCTTCAGTGTTTTTAACATTGTTCGCATTAAAAATACACTGGATTCTACATCTTGCCTTGGTGTGCTGACAAGTAGTATGATACAAGTCCAATTACTCTGAGACTCGCTCGACCTCGGCTGTCCACTTCCGCTGAAGACTGTTCATGGCATTGTCTACCTTAAATTCTTCCGCTAATCGGTCGGTGATCTCCATTCCCAACGCTTAGTGCAATCATATCAGCGTCTATGTTGTGCCGAACAGCCTTCGACAATATGGAAATGCACGTGTAGCATGACCTGAACCCTCAACGTCGCAACCTGCCTCTCAGCTGAACTCTATCCGCATACCATATCCTTACCCTCGTCTTACTTTCTCACTGATTCCGTCCACACCACTCAGCCCATCTTCAATCCTCATCAATTTGCTCCATCACACCATCATGCCTGGTAGCTCAGAAAGCCGATATATCAGACTTGAAGGTGAGTCCCTCCGAACTACCTTCATGTCTATTATCATCCTCACACAATATCGACAGTCATCAGCGGAAAGAATATTCAGGTCCCCTCCTGGCGTATTCCCGCCGGCATCTACGTATCCATCAATGTCGACTCCCGGAGGCGCTGGAAATCAGCCATCAGTATCTTATCATCTGATAGATCTGTGACGTGGGGGAATTCTGTCACTCTGTAAAGTCCATGGACACTGTCTAACGCGATGCGAGAACTGATCTTGAGTTTATAGATCATCACTCTCCTCACCTGCGTTGTCAGTGAAGATCAGGGCGCACTTTGAGCTTGATCGAACGCTAGGCGGTGGAGAGGTCATCGGCGAACTTCAGATGTCGTGGGATGAGCTACTCGATCATGGAGATGAGCCATTCGGTGAGTGATTCGCTTCTCATTCATGCACGTATACTAACGTCTTGTAGACATATCCTTCCCACCCGTACGCAGTGTTCACCCTTCCCTTGAGCTGATGGCCACCATTGTACATGCTTGCGACGATCAGGATGTCGCACTGTTGGATGTGAGTGACGCTGGCATCTGTCCTTTAGTAGCTTTTGCTGACATAATGCAAACTGCAGTCCGTCGTAGACTGCAAGATTGCTCGAGCCACAGATGCGGGCCACACACAATTGGCCGCATACGTGACGGGCGAGACAGTCTCTCACCTGAACGACGCAATAGAGCATTTTCAATTGGTTATGGACCAGTGTCCGGTCAGCCATCCGGATCATGCAACGGCTCTCACCAACCTCGCGTGGGCCCGCCTCAAAGGCTACATGCGAAATGATTTTCAAGACATTGGTGCCACCACTTCCCTCTTCCGCGACGCCCTTGCATTGCGTCCGCAGCACCATCCCGATCATCACTTATCTCTATACAATCTCGCCCGAGCGCTGATTTGGCGCCACTCCAAGAAAGGTACTGCTGCCGACATCCGCGAAGCCGCCCAACTCTATCAGGAGCTACTTCCTCTCTGTCCAGAGGGCACCTACCTTCGCAGCACCGCGGCAGGGAAAAATGGTGTCGATTATGTGATCGACGAGTGCAACCGTCTTCCAATAGACGCATCCGATGAAGGCATCCACTTTCGAAGAGTCGTTCTCGAACTCTGTCCTCTGGGCCATCAACTCCATCCCAGAACCCTCGACGAGCTTGCACAAGCACTTCAAACACGCTTTGATCAGCATGGCAGCATCGATGATATTGACACGAGCATACAACTTGGTCGTAAAGCCGTGTCTCTGTGCCCAGAGGGACATCCTGAGCGTGATGCCTACCTGAACAACTTGGCCGACTCACTCGTGTCCCGCTTCGATCACCAAGGGAAACCTAATGACCTCGATGAGGCCATCTCTTTGCATGAAGAAGCACTGCGCCTGTGCCCTGTTGGGCACAAATATCGTGATTACTCATTGGACAACCTAGGGGGCGTCCTCGTCGACCGTTTCAAGACACGCGGCGACATTGATGACATCACCCGAGCTATCAGCCTCCGTCGCGAGGCACTGACGTTGTGCCTACCTGGGCATCCACGTCATGACACCACGCTTAACAACCTTGCCCTCGCTCTCCAAACCAGATATAACGAATCACATGTTAGTGAGGATCTTAACGAGGCCATCGAATTGTATCGCGAATCTCTTCGGTTAAAGGGGCTTGACCATCCAGGGCGCCCCACAACTCTTTTCGGTTTGAGCTCGGTGCTCTGCTCTCGTTTCACGCAAACTCAGAAGAATGAAGATGTCGAGGAGGCCATTATTCTTTGCCAACAATCATTGGCAGCTCTGTCTTCACTGCACCCGGACAGGTATTTCAGCTACATATGGCTGCAGGAGGCTTATTTGTCTCGTTACCGGATTCTGCATGACCCTGCTGATTTGTCGCTCGCTATAGAGAACTTCAGACTTGCATCGGGGCACCCCACTCAAGGATTCCCATCACGCATTATAATAGCATACAACTGGACCGTAGCCGCGGAGCAGCATGGTGATGAATCCGCATTAGAGGCCTACAACACGTGTTTCGACCTTCTTGATCGTCATTTGGCAACGCGATCATCGACAATTTTACGACGCGAAGCTGCTGCTGTCTTCAATGGTGTCAGATCGCTGCCTGTAGATGCAGCCTCATGTGCCATATATCATGACAATCTACGACAGGCAGTTGAACTCGCAGAGCGGGGTCGTGGCCAGCAATGGTCGCTGGCATCTCGACTCAGAACTCCAGTCGAAGACCTCGAGTCGGCAAATCCGACACTGGCCCACAATTATTTGGAGCTGAGCAAACTCGTTTCCAATGCAGCTCAGAGTTCTGCAACCATCACCGACAGAGCTGCTGCCGATCGGGAAGCAATGGAGTATAGGGGACTTACAAGGCAATGGGAAGCAGCGGTAACTGAGATACGCAATCTTCCGACGTTCTCGCGGTTCCTGCTTCCACCTTCATATGAAGCCCTCCAAGCGGCAGCGCGGCAGGGCCCGGTCATCATCCTCATTGCGAGTCAATACTCGTGCAGCGCCATCATCGTCCCGACGTCAGGAGACCCCCATCATGTTCCTTTGCCATCCATCGCTCTCACAGATCTGAATATTCTTAAGGATCGCTTCGCCAGGGCAATACGAGATTCATCTCGGATGAATCCAGGGGAGTTGAGGACGGATCTCATAGTGCTCTTGCGCATAATATGGGACCAGATCATGCTACCCATCGTCGACGTACTCGAGCACGTCCTCAAACTACAGCGCCGCTCTCGCATCTGGTTGTGTCCGACTGCAGCTTTCACGTCCATCCCTCTCCATGCAGCTCACCCGTTTCAAACAAAGGCGGATCGTTCTGGGAAGGAGCCATGCCTGGAGGATCTCTACATTTGCTCTTACACGCCGACACTTTCTGCTCTGATAAGATCTAGACAGCTGATGAAGAAGCGCGTGCCTCCGTCCTTTGTGGCCATCGGACAGGGTCAACCGGGTGCAGGGAAAGGCAAGGCGTTATTGGCCGTCGACAGCGAGCTCGAACTTGTCCATAAGCTCGTGCCTGCGACTGCCAACCGCACCACTATTTCTGGCGATGAAGCCACACGAGCAGGTGCACTCTCAGCCTTGCAGCAGAACACCTGGGTGCACCTTGCTTGTCATGGCAAGCAGGACCCTAAACAGCCTTACGATTCGCATTTCGTCATGAGAGACGAACATCTGACGCTGCTCGATATCATGGAGAGACATATTCCGCAGGCCGAGTTCGCGTTCTTATCGGCTTGTCACACCGCTGTAGGCGATGAGGAGACGCCCGACGAAGTGATCCACCTCGCAGCTGGTCTCCAGTTTTCAGGGTTCAAGAGCGTCGTTGGCACGCTGTGGGAGGTCGACGATGCTGTCGCGAAACACGTCGTCGAAGCTTTTTACGGGTATATGTTTGGAGATTTGAAGAAAGGTGGTGTCATGGACTGCACGAGGGCAGCCTGGGCACTCAACTGTGCTACGCACGCGGTGAAGACGAAAGTGCCGCTTGAGCAGAGGATGGTTTTTGTTCATATTGGTGTGTAGTTCTACGTCTTATTGCTGTCGTCTGGTATATATTCACATGTTGTTGATCTGCGATCCTCTTTTATTCTGTTGTACAAAAATGACCCTGATACATAGAAGCAAGCACTCAAATACTGTAGGCATGATGGCTGAGTCTAAGTGGGAACCGACGCGGAGTGAAATTCACAATTACCGATGGACAACAAAGATGGGACATGGAAGTATATGATTGTTCCATGGGCGAGTCGCATGCGAAGTGGCGAAATACCGAATGTGGTGTCGATGTGCTTGTTCGTTCGTACAAATTACATTCGGCAGGCTTCATATCATGGTGGATGGGTGAATTTCAATGGCCTGGGTTACTTTGCGCTTTCACTGTAATTACTAGGTCTGTTGTGTTTTTAGCCATAATCATGCGTGCCACCTAGACTCGCAATCAACTTGTGATAGTATATGCCAGCCTGGTCACGAGCCTATGGGACATCTTTATATTTGAGTACATTTTAATATGATGCAAATTGAACGCACAGACGATGTTCTATTGATACATAAGGAGATTTGGTTCCCGATAACTCTGTCAATGGAAAACCATTTCCTCACCATCCAGGTGAACATTCCAACACCCACCCTTCAAAACTTGAGTGACCGTACGATTGTAGGCCCCAAGATCGTGTGGCACGAAGACCTTGGTCAGGTCGTCTCGTTTGTGGATTGGCCCTCGGTGCTAAAACGGATGTAAACACCGTGACGGATGGCCATCCGCAAATACCCGTGGACATCACAAGGTCATGGTCTCATCCTACCCTAGTGAGATATTCGTGGGATGATGATAGGATTCGAATGGCTGAGCTCAGCGTCTTCTCGAGTCGACACTGACGCATAGGTAGATGCCAGCAGGCGTACACCAGGAGGGGACATTCATATTTTTTGCGCTGATGACTGTAGATCCAATTCGAGCATAAGGATCACGAAACGGGTACAAAGGTGATATGCAGTGACTCACCTTCAAGTCATCAAACATACTGGTGTGATGAAGGAAACCCAGGAGGATCAAGGACGTGCTTAGTGGTAGCTGCAGTGAGGAGGGAAGGGTATGAAAAGATGGGGGTGGGAGAAGAGGTGGGTGGTCCAGGTCTTGTTGCGTGTATTTCCATGGCATTTGTATGTTTGACATACGATATGTGTGATTATACAAAGCGCTGAGAACGATGGCAAATGATAGAATGTTAGCAGGAGAGCCCGTACATGCTAAAAAGTGGACAGTACTAGTGTCAAGGTCAGTCATCAGTGAAAGTAGCACGCCAAGTTCAAAGGGAACATGCGCATCCCGTGCTACTCCTGGAATATTATCGCTGGGTCGTATCGTTCACTTAGCACATAGTAAGTTAAAATGTAAAGCCCAGTGTATTTTATGGTAGCGACAATATAAACTGCTGGAGGGACGCGCAAAAAGCGGAAACACCAACGAGGGTTTGCGAGAGCATGTCAGAAGGGATAGCAGAGTGCAATGGACGATGTTATGAGTGACGCGGAACATGATTGAGACCTGGAACAACAGTTAGAATGAGCAAAGAGTCGAGCTTCAAGTCGTTACACACCCAATATACACATGCTGCAAAGGTAGCCAAGGTAGCAATGTGGATTTGTTACGCAGCCTGCCTTAACCGTAAGTTACGCCAAAAGGCAGTGATAAACAAAGCACGCTTTATGCTGATTATGGGAACTAGTAGTACTCAGTACTCAGGTACGTAAGCAACGAGCTTACACACGGGAGTTGAACTGAAATCGAATAGAAAATTTAATTCCTGGCACTGGCCAGACTGGTTGCCGAGGAGAACGCGGTAAAGAAGGAACCACGAGTCGATGCCCATCTATTTGGTGATTGCGTGCCGTCTTCAGTGGTTTTAACATTGTTCGCATTACTAATACCATACGAAAAAAATACACTGGATTCTACATCTCGCCTTGGTGTACTGCTGAGCAGTATGATACAAGTCCAATTACTCTGAGACTCGCTCGACCTCGGCTGTCCACTTTCGCTGAAAACTGGTCATGACACTGTCTACTCTAGATTCTTCCGCTAATCCTGGTGATCTTCATTCCCGGCGCTTAGTGCAATCATACCAGCGTCTATATCGTGCCGAACAGCCCTTACCATATCCTTACCCTGTCTTACTTTCTTCCTGATTCTGTCCATACCACTCAGCCCATCTTCAATCCTCATCAATTTGCTCTCTCACACCATCATGCCTGGTAGCTCAGAAAGCCGATATATCAGACTTGAAGGCGAGTCCCTCTATATTACCTTCGTATCTGTTTCATCACCCTCACACTCGATCTACAGTTATCAGTGGAAAGAATCTTCAAGTCCCTTCCGAGCGCATTCCCGCTGGAATCTACATATCCGTCAATGTTGACTCTCGGGGACGCTGGAAATCAGCCATCAGTGTCTCATCGTCTGATGAATCTGTAATGTGGGGGAATTCTATAACTCTGTAAAGTCCATGCAGACTTTCTGACACGATGCGAGAACTGATCATTGGTTCATAGATCATCACATTCCTTGCCTGCGTTGTCAGTGGTGATCAGGGCGTCCTTTGAGCTTGGTCGAATGCTAGGCGGTGGAGAGCTCATCGGCGAACTTCAGATGTCATGGGATGAACTACTCGATCATGGAGATGAGCCATTTGGTGAGTGATTCGCTTCTTATTCATGCACATATACTGATGTCTCGTAGATTTATCCTTCCCACCCGTGCGCGGTGTTCACCCTTCCCTTAGGCTGAAGGCCGCCATTGTACATGCTTGCGACGATCAGGATGACTCACTGTTTGATGTGAGTAACGCTGGTATCTGTCCTGTTAGCTTGTGCTCACAGAACGCAAACTGCAGTCCCTCGTAGACTGCGAGATTGCCCGAGACACAGATGCGGGCCACGCACAATTTGCCGCATACGCGACGAGCAAAACAGTCTCTCACCTGAACGACGCTGTAGAGCATTTTCAGTTGGTTCTGGACCGGTGTCCGGTCAGCCATCCGGATCATGCAACGGCTCTCACCAACCTCGCGTGGGCCCGCCTCAAAGGCTACATCCGAAATGATATTCAAGACATCGATGCCACCACTTCCCTCTTCCGCGACGCCCTTGCATTGCGTCCGCAGCGCCATCCCGATCATCCCTTATCTCTATACAATCTCACCGAAGCGCTCACTTGGCGCCACAAGAAGAAAAGTACTGCTGCCGACATCCGCGAAGCCGCACAACTCTATCATGAACTACTGCCTCTCTGTCCAGAGGGCACCTACCTTCGTAGCATCGCAGCAGGGAAAAACAGTATCGATTATGTAATTGATGAATGTAATGATCTCCCGGTAGACGCATCCGATGAAGGCATCCATCTTCGAAGAGTCGTCCTCGAGCTCTGTCCCCTGGGCCATCAACTCCGTCCCGAAACCCTCGACATGCTTGCAGAAGCAGTTGAAGCACGCTTTGATCAGCACGGCAGCATCGATGATCTCGACACGAGCATACAACTTCGTCGTGAAGCCGTGTCTCTGTGCCCCGAGGGACATGCTGACCGTGATAACTACCTGAACAACTTGGCCGAGTCACTCTTGTCCCGCTTCGATCACCAAGGTCAACCTAATGACCTCGATGAGGCCATATCTTTGCACGAAGAGGCGCTGCGCCTGTGCCCTGTTGGGCACCAATATCGTAATGACTCATTGGACAACCTAGGGGGCGTCCTCGTGGAACGTTTCAAGAAACGCGGCGACATTGATGACATCACCCGAGCTATCAGCCTCCATCGCGAGGCACTGACTTTGTGCCCATCTGGGCATCCAGGTCGTGACACCACGCTTAACAACCTGGCCCTCGCGCTCCAAACCAGATATGCCAAATCGGATGTTAGGGAGGATCTTAACGAGGCCATTGATTTGTATCGCGAATCTCTTCGGATAAAGCGGCTTGACGATCCAGAGCGCCATGTAAATCTTTCCAATTTGAGCTCGGTGCTCTGCTCTCGTTTCAGGCAAACTCAGAAAAATGAAGATGTCGAGGAGGCCATTAAACTTTGCCAACAATCATTGGCGGCTTTGCATTCACTGCACCCAGACAGATACTACTCATATTTCGAGCTACGGGAAGCCTATATGTCTCGTTACAAGATTCTACACGACCCTGCTGATTTGTCGCTCGCTATAGAGAACTTCAGATTTGCATCAAGACATCCTACTCAAGGATTTCCGCGACGCATCATGGAGGTTATTAAGTGGGCTCGCCAAGCAGAAGTCTGTGGACATGAATCTGCCTTAGAAGCATACCAGATGTGCTTTGAACATTTTGACAGCCATGTGATGACACGATCGTCGATCACCTCGCGGCGTGAGGCTGCAACCGCATTTCGTGGTGCGCGGTCACTTCCTGTAGATGCAGCCTCATGTGCCATACGTCGTGACAATCTACGACAAGCACTTGAACTTGTGGAGCAGGGTCGTGGCCAGCAATGGTCGCTGGCATCTCGACTCAGGACTCCAGTCGAAGACCTCGAGTCGGCAAATCCGACACTGGCCCACAATTATTTGGAGCTGAGCAAACTCGTTTCCAATGCAGCTCAGAGTTCTGCAACCATCACCGACAGAGCTGCTGCCGATCGGGAAACAACAGAGTATAGGAGACTTACAAGGCAATGGGAAGCAGCGGTAGCTGAGATACGCAATCTTCCGGCGTTTTCGCGGTTCCTGCTTCCACCTTCATATGAAGAGCTGCAAGCAGCAGCGCGCCAAGGCCCTGTCATCATCCTCATTGCAAGTCAATACTCATGCAGCGCCATCATCGTCCCGACGTCAGGAGACCCCCATCATGTTCCTTTGCCGTCCATTGCTCTCGCAGATCTTAATATTCTCAAGGATCGCTTTGCCAGGGCAATACGAGATTCATCTCGGATGAACCCACGGGAGTCGAGGACGGATCTCATAGTGCTCTTGCGCATAATATGGGACCAGATCATGCTGCCGATCGTCAACGTGCTCGAGCACGGTCTCAAACTAAAGCAACGCTCTCGAATATGGCTGTGTCCCACTGCAGCTTTCACCTCCATCCCTCTCCATGCAGCTCACCCGTTTCAAACGAAGCTGGATCGTTCTGGGAAGGAGCCATGCCTGGAGGATCTCTACATCTGCTCTTACACGCCGACACTTTCTGCTCTGATCAGATCTAGACAGTTGATGAAGAAGCGCGTGCCTCCGACCTTTGTGGCGATCGGACAGGGTCAACCGGGTGCAGGGAAGGGCAAGGCACTCTTGGCTGTCGACAGCGAGCTCGAGCTTGTCCATAAGCTCGTCCCTGCGAGGGCCAACCGCACGACTATGTCTGGCGACGCAGCCACACGAGCAGGTGCGCTCGAAGCCTTGCAGCAGAACACCTGGGTGCACCTCGCTTGTCATGGCAAGCAGGATCCTAAACAGCCTTACGATTCGCATTTTGTCATGAAAGATGAACATCTCACACTGCTCGATATAATAGAGAGACATCTTCCGCAGGCCGAGTTTGCATTCTTATCGGCTTGTCACACCGCTGTAGGCGATGAGGAGACGCCCGACGAAGTGATTCACCTCGCAGCTGGTCTCCAGTTTTCAGGGTTCAAGAGCGTCGTTGGCACGCTGTGGGAGGTCGACGATGCTGTCGCAAAACACGTCGTCGAAGCTTTTTACGGGTATATGTTTGGAGATTTGAAGAAAGGTGGTGTCATGGACTGTTCGAGGGCGGCCTGGGCACTCAACTGTGCTACACACGCGGTGAAGACGAAAGTGCCGCTCGAGCAGAGGATGGTTTTTGTTCATATTGGTGTGTAGTTCTACATTGTATTGCTGATGTCTGGTATATATTCACATGTTGTTGATCTGTGATCCTATTTCATTCTGTTGTACAAATGACCCTGATATATACCTATTCTTGCGCTCTAGCTATCTTGTTTTCGTATGCTCTCGTTTTTTGTCAACTAGAATGTTCACCAAAGCTTTTGTGTACTGACTTGTTTGTAACTTCGTCTGTTACTTGGGTACTCAGATAGTAGGGGCCGACTCGCGCCTTCTGGTCATACCAGGCATTCTTCAATTTTCAAGCTTTCTGTACCATAGAACCTCGACTAACGCCCAGTTAGAAGCCGGGTTAAGTTGCGGAAACCCATATGTAGTCATTGGCCGGGCCGCACTAGCTAGTGACCAGTGAACCCGAATGGAGTTCATCCAGAAAACTTCTTCCGCTTATTCAGACATGGGGCTCAGTCTCACTCCGTGGTGCTTGACAGTCTGAGTCATGGACTATCTGTCTTCACATACGTTCGGTCTCTATAATCAACCCAGTCGCAGCCTCACAATTCCTGAATAATTCTGTAGGGAACGCATTGCAAGGTCTGTTATAGCCTAAAACTTCGATGCCTTACATTACATTACCTTGCGATTCAGAAATCTTGCGCGCTTTCTGTCCTTTGCTTCATCTTATCCCAGGACTCTGAATCACATCCACCCGCCCCTTTCAAGTGTAATACAACCTTCCCAAAGATGGAAACCTTTCCCTGTCTATGCATCCTAATCCTCTCAAAATACCAAGGTTCTCGTCAACTTTTGTTCCCCTTGGTGTGCTGCAACATCTTAACTTGTGGAGTACATCTCCGTGTCCACTGATGATCCCATGCCAGAACTGCACGGAACATTTGTGAGAGCCAATGAACTCGTGAGCGTATGCGATCCGGAGGTCGTCAGGAATATGCAGATGTTGGAGTTGAGCGTCTCGCTTGTCAATCCCCTCGAGCTCTATGATCCGCTTCCCAATACTGCTATCCTTATGCGGCAAGGGAGTTCTTTCCTGATACCACCACGCAAGCATGGGACGCTGAGGTACATGTCACATTGTTCCTTCTCTTATTCGTGGTAAATTGTGTGTTTTAGATGATAATGGACGCCCTTTTGACTCTCCACCTTCGCTTTATTATTCGACTGTCCTCGTATTCAGCTGTGTCATGCAACGGATTTACGACGGAAGACCACCCTGCAAGATGTAAACAGGACCTAGGGGTAAAACAACCTTTGTGTCTCTGGGTGAATCGAGTGACCGTACGATTGTAGGGCCCAAGATCGTCTAGGACGAAGACCTTGGTCAGAACGCCTCGTTTGTATATTGGGCCTCGGTACCCAGTGCTGAAACGGATGCTAAGCACCGTCACGGATGCATCCGAAAGCACCCCGGTACCCGTGAACATCATCAGGTCATGGTCTTGTCTTAGCCTAGTGATATTCGTGGGATGATAGGACTCGAACGGCTGATCTCAAGGTCTTCTCGAGTCGACACCGACGCATAGGTAAATGACAGCAGTAGTAAAATTCGGTGTATTTCATGGTAGAGACAGTGTCTCACGGACCGATTGATAACTGTATTTGGTTTGTGTGGCGGCACTCGGATGTACTCTCAACACACTGCCGATGATTTGGAGTCTGTTCGGCCACCAATATTTGCGCCAGTTTACGCAGGTTTAGAATCTATATTTTGCTTTGATAATCATAGGACCGTGCTGGTCACAGTTACTTAGTGTGACCAACCTTATTAATCAATCAATACTAAGTAGTAGGCATGCCCGTTACCCGTCTACAATCTATCCATCATCACAACTCTTACAGGATGTCTCGGGGCAGAAAAAGTGCCCGTGGTGGTGCAGAGCCAACGGAAGCGAGAGATCGGTGTGTGTGGACGGACATCCAAGTTGACATTCTGTTCTAATTCCTCTGTCCACAGGCAAGATCATCCTCCCCCCGTTATCAGTTCAATTTGACGAGTCGTATACAATCATTCGGTTCTTCTTAGCGTGCCGTCTTCAGTGGTTTTAACATTGTTCGCATTACCATACAAAATACACTCGATTCTACATACATCTCGCCTTGGTGTGCTGACGAGTAGTATGATACAAGTCCAATCACTCTGAGATTCGCTCGACCTCGGCTGTCCGCTTTCGCTGAAGACTGGTCATGTCATTGTCTACTCTCAATTTTTCCGCTAATCCTGGTGATCTTCATTCCCAGCGCTTAGTGCAATCATACCAGCGTCTATATCGTGCCGAACAGCCCTCGACAATACGGAAATAGCATGATCTGAACCCTCAACTTCCCTCTCAGCTGAACTCTATCCGCATACCACATCCTTACCCCCGTCTTACTTTCTCGTTGATTCCGTCCACACCACTCAGCCCATCTTCAATCCTCATCAATATGCTCCATCACACCATCATGCCCGGTAGCTCAGAAAGCCGATATATCAGACTTGAAGGCAAGTCCCTCCCCTCTGAACTACCTTCGTATATGTTATCATCCTCACACAATATCTACAGTCATCAGCGGAAAGAATATTCAAGTTCCTTCCAAGCGCATTCCTGCTGGCATCTACATATTCATCAATGTCGACTCCAGGAGGCGCTGGAAATCAGCCATCAGTGTCCTATCATCTGATAGATCTGTAACGTGGGGGGATTCTGTCACTCTGTAAAGTCCATGGACACTGTCTGACATGATGCGAGAACTGATCATCGGTTTATAGATCATCACACTCCTCGCCTGCATTGTCAGTCGAGATCAGGGCGTCCTTTGAGCTTGGTCGACCGCTAGGCGGTGGAGAGGTCATTGGCGAACTTCAGATGTCGTGGGATGAGCTACTCGATCATGGAGATGAACCATTTGGTGAGTGATTCGCTTCTCATTCGTGCACATACACTAACGTCTCGTAGATATATCCTTCCCACCCGTGCATGGTCTCCACCCTTCCTTTCGGCTGAAGGTTGCCATTGTACATGCTTGCGACGATCAGGACGAAGCACTATTTGATGTGAGTGACGCTGATATCTGTCCTGTTAGCTTTTGCTGACAGAACGCAAACTGCAGTCCCTTGTAGACTGCGAGATTGCTCGAGACACAGATGCGGGCCACGCACAATTGGCCGCATACGTGACAAGCAAGAATGTCTCTCACCTGAACGACGCAATAGAGCATTTTCAGTTGGTTCTAGACCTGTGTCCGGTCGGCCATCCAGACCATGCCACGGCTCTCACCAACCTCGCGTGGGCCCGCCTCAAAGGCTACATCCGAAATGATTTTGAAGACATCGATGCCACCACTTCCCACTTCCGCGACGCCCTTGCATTGCATCCGCAGTCCCATCCCGGTCATCCCTTATCTCTGTATAATCTTACCGAAGCGCTGAGTTGGCGCCACAACAAGAAATGGACTGCTGTCGACATCCGCGAAGCCGCGCAACTCTGTCATGAACTACTGCCTCTCTGTCCAGAGGGCACCTACCTTCGTAGTATCGCGGCAGGGGAAAATGGTGTTGATTATGTGATTGGCGGATGCAACAAACTTCCAATAGACGCATCCGATGAAGGCATCCATCTTCGAAGAGTCGTCCTCGAGCTCTGTCCTCTGGGCCATCAACTGCGTCCCAGAGCTCTCGACAAGCTTGCACGAGCGGTTAAAGTACGCTTTGATCAGCACGGCAGCATCGATGATATTGACACGAGCATACAACTTCGTCGCGAAGCCGTATCTCTGTGTCCCGAGGGACATGCTGGCCGTGATATCTACCTGAACAACTTGGCTGAATCCCTCCAGTCTCGCTTCGATCACCAAGGCAAACCTAATGACCTCGATGAGGCCATATCTTTGCACGAAGAGGCGCTGCGCCTGTGCCCTGTTGGGCATAAATCTCGTTATTACTCATTGGACAACTTAGGGGGCATCCTCGTGGAACGTTTCAACAAACGCAGCGACATTGACGACATCACCCGAGCTATCAGCCTCCATCGCGAGGCACTGACTTTGCGCCCATGTGGGCATTCAGGTCGTGACACCATACTTAACAACCTGGCCCTCGCGCTCCAAACCAGATATGACAAATCACAGATTAGGGAGGATCTTAACGAGGCCATTGATTTCTATCGCGAATCCCTTGGGTTAAAGCGGCTTGACCATCCAGAGCGCCATGTAAATCTTTCCAATTTGAGCTCAGCGCTCTGCTCTCGTTTCGCGCAAACTCAGAAAAATGAAGATGTCGAGGAGGCCATTAAACTTTGCCAAGAATCATTGGAGGCTTTGCATTCACTGCACCCAGACAGATACTACTCATATTTCGAGCTGCGGGAAGCCTATATGTCTCGTTACCAGATTCTACATGATCCTGCTGATTTGTCGCTCGCTATAGAGAACTTCAGATTTGCATCAAGACATCCTACTCAAGGATTTCCGCAACGCATTGAGGAGGTTATTGAGTGGGCTCGCCAAGCAGAAGTTTGTGGACATGAATCAGCCCTAGAAGCATACCAGATGTGCTTTGAACATTTTGACAGCCATGTGATGACACGATCGTCGATCACCTCGCGGCGTGAGGCTGCAACCGCCTTTCGTGGTGCGCGGTCACTTCCTGTAGATGCAGCCTCATGTGCCATACGTCGTGACAATCTACGACAAGCACTTGAACTTGTGGAGCAGGGTCGTGGCCAGCAATGGTCGCTGGCATCTCGACTCAGGACTCCAGTCGAAGACCTCGAGTCGGCAAATCCGACACTGGCCCACAATTATTTGGAGCTGAGCAAACTCGTTTCCAATGCAGCCCAGAGTTCTGCAACCATCACCGACAGAGCTGCTGCTGATCGGGAAGCAATGGAGTATAGGAGACTTACAAGGCAATGGGAAGCAGCTGTAGCTGAGATACGCAATCTTCCGGCGTTCTCGCGGTTCCTGCTTCCACCTTCATATGAAGACCTGCAAGCCGCAGCGCGCCAGGGCCCTGTCATCATCCTCGTTGCCAGTCAATACTCGTGCAGCGCCGTCATCGTCCCGACGTCAGGAGACCCCCATCATGTTCCTTTGCCGTCCATCACTCTCGCAGATCTCAAGATTCTTAAGGATCGCTTCACCAGGGCAATACGAGATTCATCTCGGATGAACCCACGGGAGTCGAGGACGGATCTCATAGTGCTTTTGCGGATAATATGGGACCAGATCATGCTACCCATCGTCGACGTACTCGAGCACGTCCTCAAACTACAGCGCCGCTCTCGAATCTGGCTGTGTCCGACTGCAGCTTTCACGTCAATTCCTCTCCATGCAGCTCACCCGTTTCAAACAAAGGCGGATCGTTCTGGGAAGGAGCCATGCCTGGAGGATCTCTACATCTGCTCTTACACGCCAACACTTTCGGCTCTGATCAGATCTAGACAGTTGATGAAGAAGCGCGTGCCTCCGTCCTTTGTGGCCATCGGACAGGGTCAACCGGCTGCAGGGAAGGGCAAGGCGCTATTGGCCGTCGACAGCGAGCTCGAGCTTGTCCATAAGCTCGTTCCTGCGACAGCCCACCGCACCACTATTTCTGGCGATGAAGCCACACGAGCAGGTGCACTCTCAGCCTTGCAGCAGAACACCTGGTTGCACCTCGCTTGTCATGGCAAGCAGGATCCTAAACAGCCTTACGATTCGCATTTCGTCATGAAAGACGAACATTTGACGCTGCTCGATATCATGGAGAGACATCTTCCGCAGGCCGAGTTCGCGTTCTTATCGGCTTGTCACACTGCTGTAGGCGATGAGGAGACGCCGGACGAAGTAATTCACCTCGCAGCTGGTCTCCAGTTTTCAGGGTTCAAGAGCGTCGTTGGCACGCTGTGGGAGGTCGACGATGCTGTCGCGAAACACGTCGTCGAAGCTTTTTACGGGTATATGTTTGGAGATTTGAAGAATGGTGGTGTCATGGACTGCACGAGGGCAGCCTGGGCACTCAACTGTGCTACGCACGCGGTGAAGACGAAAGTGCCGCTCGAGCAGAGGATGGTTTTTATTCACATTGGTGTGTAGTTCTACGTCGTATTGTTGTCGTCTGGTATATATTCACGAGTTGTTGATCTGCGATGCTCTTTCATTCTGTCGTACAAATGACCCTGATACATTCTTGCATTCTAGCTATCTTGTTTTCGTATACTCTGCCGTTTTGTTTTTCGACTAGAATATTCACCAAAGTTCTGGTGTACTGAACTCGTTTGCAACTTCGTCTGCTACTTGGGTACTTAGATCATGGGAGCTAGGTCACTGGTCAAGCCTACCCGCGCCTTCAAGTTTCACCCCGAACCTCGACTAACCGCCGCCAATGTAATCAATGAAATGCCAGTTAGAAGCCGAGTCAAGTCAGAAGCAAATCCCGGCTGGCTGCTTCGACTCGTGGCTCGTATGTGTACTGCTTGCAATTGCATTCGCTCCAAAACGAGTCCTAATCTGTCCATGAAGCATGCACCTAGTATTGTATCGTGTCGTGTCATGCTTAAGCCTACTTTGACACGACGACTTCAAGCAAGATATAGCCGGTATTCGATATTCATTTCCTATGGTAGGCACTAATGATTCAAAACGTACGCGTACTTGTGAACGGCTCAGCACCTCCTCGACTCATCCTCAAACCTACCTCTCGTTCACGTTATAACGAAGTTGTGAAGTTTTCCTGTAATAGACTTGTTCACTGACGCACTCTTCAATGCTGCCAGACTTTCTGGGACATCTTTGTGGCTGATGCATGTGCAGGAATTGTAGCTGGATATCAGAAAGGCTGTCAGTATTTCAGACAGATAGATTCGAAGGGGTGGATGTAGCTCTGTACATTGTGAGATTAGCTTAGGAGATATACCAAGTGGAACCTATCAAAGTGTCGTCTATGCTCCTGTCAAACATTGGTCCGCCTGCATCCAGCACCAAAATCTTCAGAGTTAGTAGCCACATCTCCAAAGCCAATGTGAAAGGGAACTCCCGTGTTCGATGCCCTCTGCTACTCGTTACCCTTGTCTTGTCGTCAGGGATAACTCTTTCGGTAACGCTCGATGTCTGTCTTTGACATCAATGCAATATATTGTGGATGACGAAACTGGACGGTGACATATGGGCTAGGTGACATTCAACGCTTTATGGTAGACATTAGACGTTAGATGCACGAGATAAACATAAGCGAAGGACAAACTTTCAACCTCCATGTTCTATATGGGCGTCGCTTGTGAACTCTTTGACTATCTTCAAGTCATCTCTACTAATCTCTCCAACAGGTTGTTGCCACTATACGAACATTTTCGATGAGAAGCAGTAAACTGTCCCTGGTCGCAGAAAGAATGTCAGTGACCTACCCCTTCAGTCATATGAGTCGCCCTGGCTGTGGTATTGGAGTGGAATATGAAGCATACCTCACGATGAAACTCGAACGGCAAATTTCCATCGTCTTCTTGAGTCGAGCTTAATGAACATGGATATGCTTGCGGTGCAGGATGACTTTTCGCGCTAATGAATTCGTGTTATTAGATTTCAGCAAACATATGACCTTGTCATATGTTGAGCGACACACCTTCAAGTCAGACAGATTGGCCCGCCAGGCCACTAGTGATGAGACGAGAAGTGAGGTAGATTGAGCTAAGTGAAAGGTGCCGAGGAAGCGTTGTGAATCAGTCGTCTTGTGAATGTGCTGAACGTGAACTCAATTGATGAGCTGACAGGAAAGAAATCGTTAAGGACATGGGCCAGCATCGAGGATGCATATACATTGATGACGATCTAGGACAGAGATGTTCCTGATGGGGGAGAACATTGTGTTAGAATGAAAATTGTAAGATATAAATCACATAATGCGCAGGCTTATTATTAAATTTGGACGAGTACTAAATGGATCAGAGCAAGCCAAGCCACTTGGACGGTTGTGTTTCCTATTGCGGAAATTCATGTTACGTTTATTTTCCAATTCACTCACTTTCCGAATCATCGAAGGCGACACTCTTGAGATATTCAGATGTTTACCACAATGGGAAGCCTATGGAAAGCCGGACGCGCGCGCTCCGTTACACGATGTGACATGCACCAAATGAGGTAGTCACACGATTGGGACACCGGACACCTCACACGCAAGAAAATTATATATATCCCTGACACTGAGTAGTCACATGATACAAGCCACATGGCACTTTTTCCTTGAGTGCTGACGTCACTCAAGGAAAAAGTGCCACGTTTTCTTGGTCATGTGACAGCGTAGGGCCTGCCAGTGATGTTTTTCAAGTGCCATTACAATATTATATCGAGTACATGTCGCACATCAATGTAATTATCTAACACTTCGAATGCAAGAAAATAGTATAGTACCATGTATCAGTCCAACGAGCATCAATCTAATTTTCTACAACTACTTCATCGTCATCCGCAGCTGCTTCATCGTTGTTCGCTTCCTTCACAAATATCTCCAGCCCAAACCATTCACAGTACTCGTTGCAGGCATGCTGGTCTTCGAATTTGCTGACAGATGCCTCGATATTTCCCTCGCCAAAAATATCACATCCATTGCTGACCGACCTATCCCAACATCGGTATTGAGTCTGAACAAATGAAAAAGACATATGGATGAGTCAGGATCTGAGGATCTGTGAGTAGTACTGTACTACCTGAATACATTGGGTCATTCAGCGCTGAGGATTGAATGTATTGAAAATCAGACATACCCTGATAGTCGGATATGAAAGCTAGCTTGCCAGTCTTGACATACTGGACATGCTGCGTGAAAACAAAGAATTCGGCCATGTCATAGCCATAGTCCAATTCATCAAGCAATGGATTGGCATCCATATTGTGGATGAATTTGACAAACATATCATCACCACCCTCAATGAGCTCTTCAAGGAGAAAGACAGCCTGTGTTGACCCTGTCTTCGCTCCAGGCTTGCTACCACCTTGGTTGTGGCACAATGCAAGGCCAGCTTCTACAAATCAAACACGTGGGACAGCGAATGGCGGGGGTTCAGGTGAGGATGCAATGGAATGATCAATAAAGTCGTATGTGAGCTTTAATAAAGACTTGGACCAGTATAAGACGTTGGCCTCTCTGAATAGCTTCTGTAGCTCGTCGACAAGTGAATACCGGCCGACTTTATAAGCTCCAACCTTCATAGCAGTCGGAAATACTTTTTCGAATGGCCGTTTGACCACGACCTTATGACGAGCCACTGATCCAAGACCAGTCTTGGGAGGAGCTGTGAGTGTGAGCCATCCAGCGTTCGCAGTCTTGAAGCCACCAATTCCAATGAAGCCATCCGTCGATGTATCAATAGTCAGCTGTCCAATGGAAGATTCAGCTGTGTCCACCGAAAATGAATGATGCTGTTTGTGTAGCAAGAGGTTGGTGATATCGCGGGTAGGGATTGGGTGGAATTGCACATTTTCGCTATGTAGTCCAAAGACTATAAAATACTAGTAAGCGCTGATGCAATTTGAGAAATTGATGAACGAGCATACCTTGCTTTACATTTAAGTTGGCACCTCCGCCAATCTTCAAGACTTCTTTGAGCAGATCATGATCAGGTGAATGAAAAGCTGCGGGAGGTGGATTCTTCTTTCGAGGTGGAGATGAAGTACCACTGAGACTGCTAGAGCTTTCAGCACGCTGGTGGGCTCTCTTGGTAGAGACTGTCACAGAATTGTTGGTGGTCATGGATGGTAAGAAAAGCTTGTTTTCAGCGAGCGAAGTTGTTGCTGATGAGGGCACATTGAAACCGACAGCTGTGTGAGCAGTAGCACGTTCGCTAGACTGAGTGCAGCTCGTTCGGATAGCTTCAGCTTCCTGGACCACAAAACTAAGGTTAGGGCACTAGTAAATAGACAACATAAAAAATATGTACCATTTCTGCACGAAGTTCCAACCAACTCTCGTATTCATTCCACTGAGCCTCTGGGACAACAACCATCAGCGCAAATTGTTTAGATTTGAAGGTCGATTTGGTGCCTTTGCGAGATGGCTGCAGGCATTGATCATAGAAATAGGGAACCGATTGCGGGTGATTGGATAGGTCCACCCATGCAGCATCTCGGATTACGAACTCCTCAACATGCCAGACAAATTCTCCATTGAATTTGCATAACTTTGGGATGACAGTCTCCAAAGCTAGCTTGATGAGCCCAGACGCGTCAATTCGAGCATCAACGTCCTTCTTACCCTCACATATGTTCTAGTAAGCTGAAGTGTAAGTAAGTCACAGCACGTTTTAAGATGTAAACATACTCCAATAACAACACCTCGTTTTTTGCATGCTCCGGCACCTTCGTGAACCACAGTAATTTCAAGCAAAATGGTCTCTGCTAGAGACGAAGCATATGCCATTTTCCCCCAGCGGTCACGCTCAGCAGCATAAAGTGTGTGTTGCGATGAATACCCAATGGCACCTTGTTGTGACGAATGCTGGATGGACAATGAACCTTGCCACGATGTAGGGATTCTAATATCTGGCCCTCTAGCATGAGAACCACCAGGTACAGCAACGACAGGAGGCGGATTAGGTGTCGCTGTGATAAATCAGATCATAAACCTCCACAGATCAGGAGGGGCGCGGCCTTGTGATTGTAAGGTTCGACTACCTGAGTCAGTAGTCTGTAAGCCAGCAACTCGTCAATTAGATGGTGATCACATACCTGTAGGTCTCACTGAAGTAGCTCGTTTATTCTCATAATGCAAGTGGCAGGATTCACACACATAGCGCCCACGTTGACCTGGCTCGATGGTCGCAACATAAAAACATGGCTCTCCAGTCCTAATGTTGGCCATGCAAGACGGACGGTCGCAAATTCGATCTTCTTTGGCATAGGCATCCTCAGTGTACTGGGTGAGAAGTTCATAGTCTGACATGGCGCTCTGAAGGTAGCCTGCCAAGTGCATGCTAGACAGCTTAAATATCTCATGACCCAGAGATTTATGATGCGGTGCATTGGGTGGTGACGAGCACTTGAGGAAAGTCTGTATCATCATGAGGAACTGGCGCCTCCAGAGACACTAAGGAGAAGTTTGAAAGAGTTAGATAGAGAATCATGAATCATATGGAACCGGCACCTCAAAAGACACTATGGAACAATCTGAAAGAGTTGAAGGAACTGGTGCCTCCAGAGACACTAAGGAGCAGTTTGAAAGAGTTAGATAGAGAATCATGAATCATATGGAACTGGCACCTCAAAAGACACTATGGAACAATCTGAAAGAGTGACAACATTTCTTAGTTCAATTAGTGGTAGTTGCAAGCCCTGACTCACTGAGAATCGGAACATTTGGA